ATAAAATTTTGGAGTTGCAACGTGTTGCAACGGGTGACAAATAAGCGTCACATACTTGCTGCACCATCTCTAGTTGTGATTATTATTATTATTATTATTACTGTTATTCAAATTTTTGATTTGTTTAATTAATTCCAATAAAGTTATGTTGATATCAGTATTATTAGTTATTGTTGATATATTTGGTTGTATTGATAATTCATAATTATATGATATGATTGAGATTACTAATGTAAATAAATTGTTATGAGTGAGTTTAAATTCAGCTTCTGTTTCAATAGCAATAGAAATGGCTTTCTTAAATGTTTCAAGTTGGTACAAATTAATGAAAAAGATGTATTATGAATTGAGATCTTTGATAAATTCACAAATTTTATATTGAGTTGGATAAGTATTGTCTGGATCAATTTTGTAAAGTAATGAACAAATATCAGTTACATATTGACTGACTGATTTGTTTGTGCTTTGAATATAGCTATTTAACTGTTATTGTCATAGTAATAGTTGAGTTTGAGTATAGAATTCATTTAGAAAACATGATTTGAAAGAAGTTTCTTGATTATCAACATCATTGTAATGTGTGAACTAAGGATGCTTGTCTAAATCCTTTCAGAAAAATATCGTCATAATTTCGACGGGTTACACACTAATTGTTAATTAGAATTTCGACATAATTTCGGTTACGACGGGTTTCAAAATTCGTCAGAATTTTGACGGGTTATTTATTAATAGTTTATTATAATTTTGACAGAATTTAGACAGTCACTAAGAGATTTCGGCAAGCAATCTTAGTGTGAATCATGCATTATTTGCTTGTACTTGATTTTTGTACTAATGATTGGCAATATCATGTAAGTATATTGGTATAATGTGAATTTTTCTTTCATTACTCATATTATTGACTCTTGTAGCTTGTTCAAATTTTTCTATCCAGATAATTGGATCATCTTGATCATTTTCATGAAATATTGGAATTAGAATTGGATCTTAATTTTGATTACTAATTAGATCTGCTAATTGTTTAAGAGTAATATTTAAAGTAGTTATTGTTGGTGATATAGGTGATAGTGATAGTGATGATAATTTTAATTTGATATTTTCTGGTAATAATGGAGATGAATCAAGAATTAAAGCATCTTGTTCTTCTTCTTCTTTAAAGTTTTGAGTTTATTGAGTTATTGATGATATTCCTAGATAATTTTGAAAACTTTGTTTAATATTTTGAATGACTGTTAATATTGTTGTTACTGTTTGTGAATGTGATTCTTGACTTGTAGTTATTAATATTGGTGTTGATGAGTGAGATTTTTGTTCTATTTTATATTTGAATAACCAATATTATCTTTGTTGATTGAATAAAAATTTGAACTTTTTTAGTTAAGTTATTGAAATAATTGAATAATCCAGATAATTTTAAAAGTGTATATAATGATAATCACTGTTGTAATTGATATTTGATAATGTTAATTTGAGATTTTTGTTTGGTAATATCAGCTTTAAATAGATTATAGAAAAGTTTAAATAATTCTTTGTCTTGTTTTTTTGTAAGTTCAGTATTGATTATTTCTCTTACAATATCAACAAATTGATAATGAATCTCAATTTCAATTGGTTTAGATAAATCCAATTTTGAAAAGTGATTTTAGTTGTATCTAGCTCCAATTTTACTCTCCACAAAGAAAGCACCAAAAAGCTGTTACCATTTTTATATTGATGAATAAGATATTAACTAATTATAATAATTAATTAAGAATTATATAAGAGCGATAATAGTGACTATATGTACTTGAGAGAGTTGAATACTAGATGATTGGGAAAAAGTATTAAAAAAAAATAAATTCTAATACTTTCACTAGTTGAATAAATATTTTATAATTTAAAAATACGAATGATTTATTAAAATACAAAAAATGATTTCCACTAGTTGGATAAGTCAAAGTTAAGTAAATAATAAATCAAAATAATAATAAACAAAAGATTATTTAGAAATATTAATTAACTTCTATATTTTTGTTACTTTCAAAATTACTATTGAGATTCTTGTTATTCTATGTTAAATTATATCTATTTAAATACATGTAAATGTAATATGAATCTACATGATAAGTAATATTACTTAAAAACAATTATAAGATAAATTTGGAAGAAATGTAATACCAAGAAATGATAAGTGTATTACTAATTTAATCTAAGCGATACAATTAAAATTAGAGCTATATTAATTAATGTTAAATGAAATTAATTTAAAATAGAATGAATTTAGATCCAATAATATTATAATAAAATAAATAATGTGATATTAAAAAGAATTGATTGGTGTTTTTGATAAATTATGTGTAAATTTAAATTAAATAATTATAAATAGAATTATAAATAGAAAAATATAAAAGGAAATATAAATAATTATCAAAATTATGTCATATGATATTTTACATGTGATTCAAAATATCAAATGGTGACAATACATCAAATCACTTTTATAAGTGATTTGTTTTACTTTATCATTATCATTTCTTTTTCTCATCATTATTTCTTTTAGATATATAAATGAATTATCACGTGCTAAATCATGTGAACTAAAATCGTAACAAGTTTAGCTTTTCTAATTCGAATTAACATTATCATAATTTTTAGTGCTAGTTCGAATTAGAAATGTAACTTCGTCAGATCATGTTATCACGTTCATGTGATAAAATCACGTGACCGGAAAATCACCTACCATCTGATCCTTTTTCATAGACAATTTCAAAACTGAGACTATATGAAACATGAAATTGTGAATTAAAAATTCCTATTATGGAAACGATTATTATAGAGATTCAGCACTGTACATTAATAGATTAATTAATTATTTTAGGTTAACGTCTATTATTTTTATTCATCCTGCACAGCAAAACTAAGTTTGAGAAATAACCAAAAATCCATTAAGGTCGGCCTATAATTGCAATTAAAAATTTAATGAATATCAAAAAAAACAAACAAAATGCAATAAAGAAATCAATTATTTAATAACTTGCCTCGTTTCCGGTAGCATAGGATATTGAAGTCTAGGAATTGGGCGTATTGTCTTCCCGCTAACAAGTCCGCGTAAAACATATAACGAAAAATAATGGGAACTCAACCTCTTCCAAAGTAACATATATTGGAAGAATATGGCAGACAGCGGTATAGGTAAATTCTGTAAAGGATTAATCAATCAATTATTATTATTGACATCATAGAGCATCTTAAAAGAATGATTCATCAAAACGCGCCACAAATTTAGACACTAACATGTAAGAATAAATAGCTAACTTTTGGAGACGACGATGATGGTGGAGTGGCGGGCAAAGGTGTATTTGAGGCTTGTGGTGAGATTGAATGTGATGAAGGAACGCCGTTGACGGCAATTGTTACCCGACTTTTTCTTCGACGAATAATTTGATTTTGATTTACGTCTTTATGAATTTGTGACATGGAATTTGATATCATAGTGGCGTTATTAGATGTTTTCTGATTATTGTTCAGAGGCTGTATGAGTTTTCTAGAGGGTGTTGTGGTCCATGGCCAAACAGATTTGAGACCTTTAAAAACACGTGCTAAAGGCATCTCATAGGTTGCAAAATAATTTGGATCACATTTTTCAAAGCGTAGGCCGCCTATAAATAAATAGATAATGTTATTAACGAGAAAAAATATATTATTGTTTATATTATTTATAATTAACGAGTATCTTTACCAGGTAGTCGTTCGGGGTCCGAAAATCGAAGCATAATAGCAAATAAAGGAAAGTGATTAAAAAACGCCAAAAGTGTCTCCATCACAGCTTGCAAGAAAATGACGCCTACTCGACTCTGAGAATTCTTCGTATTTAGCATATCAAATAACATAATTAATTATATCGAAGAAAACAACAAGTTTCTTACCAATGCAAACGTAGCATAATACACTATAATTGTGGGAAATAGGAATGTCAAAAGTGTAAACAGTATCGTTCCCAATAACAATTGATCCAGATCATAATCACAGGAATCTATGCGATTCCGTAATGTATTCCATTTCTTGCCTGATAAGAAAATATGTTTCGTATTGTTTAAATAAAGGATCAAATGGTAAAAATATTTTTCTTTTGAAAATAATGAATATAATCGAATACCTTGAAATAAATTAAATAGGGAGTATAGTATATTAAGTTGCCAATTAAAAATTCTTGCAGCAACCATATAAAACGAATAAATATGAATTGTCATAAATGACAAAAAGTCCGACAGCAAAGAAAGCACCATCGATGCGCCCAACATTCCCGAAAGACCAATCATCTTTATTATTATAGGAACCATTGGTTCTATATTTGTTATACAGCCTAAAAGTGCAAATATTGTACCCAAATTACTCCAAATAAATCTTTTGATATAAAAAAAATTAATTTGCTAACCTTTCCATAATAGAATTAGCCATAGAAATAATTCGCCTAAGAATTTATCCAATTCACTATTAAGTTTAAGCCCAGCCGGCCAGCCCATTAACCATACTATCATTTTTTCAAGCCGTTCCATCGCGTAATGCTAAATTCATATAGGATCAAGTAGAAATTTAATTTAGATTCTCAAATTGTCGATTACATCACTAGTTTATTTTCTTACATTTAAATAATCATCCATAATTAATTTGGCCATTGCCTCATTATTATCCATTAGAAAAAAGCCAATTGCCACTCCAATTATTATATCATTTGCAACTAGCCACATACTATTGTGAAAACTATATAAAAGAATCAAATAAGCATTAAAATAATATTATTTAAAATATCATTCATAATGATTAACCTTATATATTGAGCTCGTGTTGTTTCAATATTTGTCCAATCACGACGTCGTTGCAACATAAATTGCCAAGGCCAAAAACACGCTTGTTGTAATCTTAAATCAATTTGTTGTGCTATACGAAAAAAAAACAGAGCATTAGAAAAGAGTTTTAATTAGCAGAAGGTACATCATAATAGAACTGTTACCGGTTGCAGACAAATCTTTTAACGAAATTCCGTTAAGAAGCCAATTTGGAAACCGTATATTAAGTATCCACAACACTATTTCTGCGAATACTCTAACCAGCACCAGAAAAAACAATATAGGATGTGCTATTGTCGGACGAATGAGAGGCGCTAGAAAAAGGATCGGGTACATTAGACCTTTTTTCAAGAACATCCCTAGGCCAACAGCCGATTTTTTTACTGCCTCTGATACACTAGCGCTACGACGATTGCGTCGGGTCTGGAAAGCTTTACATCGACTCCGAATTGCTTTTTCTGTTTCGTGCGAAGAATTGACCTATGTCACAAAGCCACATAAACCCATCACTTTTTTTGCATTGAAATTGCAAATGAGATTAAGAGTGACAAAACATATATATACATATATATATAGAGGTATCATTCGAAATTTAAATTCTAATCGTTGTTTACCTGATTCAATATGAGATCCATGTCATTAGCATGACTCTTTTCTTTACGCGAAGAACGGATTCGAGTACTTGTAATCTTCTTCATATTCTTGATGGTGGTTGATTCTTGTTCCGACTTTGTACTATTATTATTCTTTGAAATATCTAATATCAACGGTTCAAGCGAAAGATATTGTAATAGGGTGGGATTCGGTTGCTTGTAGAGTATGATTTCCAAACTGACATCTGAATAGCGAAAGCCGCAGCAATCAATGGATCTTTACGGCACGAAGATATATTAACGAAATGTACAATAGCCCACTTATGGGATTGTCTCACGTGTAGAAATTCACACCTGAGTGATGGCATGTTGTTATGTTGAAGATGTATAGTCATCCATAAATTAGCTGTCTTGGTTTTTTCCGAGACTCCTTAAAGAAGATTTTTGTTTAATTATAAACTATAGGTAAGCAGATTTTTTAAAAATATAAATTATCGTTTATTTGTGGGTTACCTTCAGCACGAAGAATATTTTCAGTATCGACATCTTCACTAGAATCCACTGTCAGTACCCCCAAGACAATTGGAGGTGCACCACACACTTCACTCATGTAAACAAATGAAGAACGATTATCTGTAGATAGAACAGACAATGTCGCTTCCAAATCTTTGAGCTAGGAAAAATCATAGTTTAATGAGAAAAATTTCGGAATTTACACAGCGCTAAAATTACAATATTACCTTCACATCTGAAATAACAGCAGCAACACAAACTGTAAAATTCCTCACATTCCAGCCCACGAGAAACCCCGGTAATGTTTGAGGTGAACATATATGAACTGGCCAGAATATTTTAGATACTGCTCCAGGCGTGTTCATTCCTTTTAAATACTATCGTACATGAATATAAAAACGAAAGAAATATATTGTGACCTCTTTTATAGTCACTCTTCATATAATCACAAAATCCATATAGTCACTAAAACGACCTCTGTATAGTCACATGTATGTGCACTTTCATCAAAACGTTAATAATTTATATTTTAATATATATTTTTTCTAATTGCAAAATAAATGTAAATATTTAATTAATAAAAAATTTTGCTTTAACTTTGCAATTAGAAAAGTTTCTTTGAATTAAACACAAAAAATCTGAAAAAATATATATTGAATATAGATTATAATCTTTATTTTTTATATAAAGTTTATTTTTATATTAAAATAAGAATAATATTACATATTTTAATATATATTTTTTCAAATTTTTAGATTTAATTTAATCAAGTTGTTTTAATTGGATATAATTTAATTATAAAAAAATATTAACTTTATATTCAATTAGAATAACTTGATCAAATTAAATCTAAAAAATCTGAAAAAAATATACGTTAAAATATGTAATATTATCTTTATTTTAATGCAAAAATAAAAAATATTTATTAATAAAATTGAAAACTTTATATAAAAGAAAAACTTGTATTTTATTATATTTTATTAATAAATTTTGGTATTGTTGTATTATTTTTAATTGTTACTATATAATATTTTTATAAACTGTTATATATTATAAATAAAAATAGAAAACTTGTAAATTCAAAATTTACTTATATTCTGAAATTTTTATTTTTGTATTAAAATAAAAAAAATAATCTATATTTTAATTCTTTATTTTGATATAAAAACAAAAATTTCAATTTTTATTATAAATTCAATAATTTTTTAAAGAATAATATATATATACTTTAAAATTTAATTTTTAATTGCAAAATAAATTAATAAATTTTTATATATTTTAATTAATTAATTTACTTTTTTAGATTTTTTAAATTTAATTTAAAAATTTTTCTAATTGCAAAGTTAATTAATTAATTAATTTTATAATTAAAAAACTTTTTTCAGATTAAATTTAAAAAATTCAAAAAAAATTATATGTTAAATATAAATTATTATTTGTATTTTATATAAAATAAAAAATATTAATTATAATAAAGAAAGTTTAAAATTATTTAATACTTTAAATTATAAAGAATTTGTATTTAAATATTTAATTAAAAAAATATTATCAAATAATTTTTGATAAAATTTATAATATAGTATATTTTTTATATAATAAAATATTAATTAAATAAATAATTTGAATTTTTTAGAAATTACTTTGAATAAAATTCATAATAAAATAATTTAGTTTTTAATATTAGTTATATTATATAAATTATTTTTAATTGATTAAATTTTTTTATATAAAAATATATGATTATTTTTATATAAAAATTATATAAAATATATTTTATATTTATTAGCTTATATAATTTATATTTATATATTCAATTTTAATATTAAATAACTTTAGATTTTGATTTATAATAAAATTGAAAACTTTTATTTTAAAAAAAACTTTATATTTTATTCTATTTTATTAATAAATTTTAATATTATTATTTTTTTTGATTAATAAAATATTAATATGAACATTTTAATAAAAATAATATATTATTATTAGATCATATAACAAAATTTTTTGGTTTTATAATTTAGCCAGATTATTAAAACTAGCTTATAAAATTTAAATTTAAAATATAATTAATATTATATTGTAAAAAGTATTAAATAAGTAAAAATTGATGATTTTTTTTTAGTTAAAATACAATATTTTATAGTTTAGCAAATGAATTAAAGTAATCCAACTATTATTAAATTTGTTTTAATTAACAAATTGAATAATAATTAAATTATTTTGATCTAATTAATAAATTGTAAAATATTATATTCTAAAATTATTAAACTAAAAAAAATAATTAATTTTATCAAAATTTATTTTATATAATAAAATTTTTTTGATTTTAAAAATAAAAAATTGGATTACTGAATTATTATATATTATGAAAACCAAAAAATATTGTTTGCATGATTTTATTACTAGTATAATATATTAAAATTATATTTTATTATCAAGAATAACTCAAAGATATTGTTTTTATAATAAAAACAAATTAATAATTGTAAATTTTGATTATAAAAAAATTGATCAATTCTATATTATAATTCTCATTGTTCAAAAAAATTAATTGAATCCAAAATTGAGTATTTTTCACATTTTTATTATTTTCTATTTTATATACAAATCCTATCATCTGTGAACATCTATAAAGTGAGACTTAATAGATAAGTTCCATATAGGCACACCTCACTATAATCACACAAATTTTCTATACCAAAGAATAACTAGATAAAACTCTGATAGATACTAATATTGAATCACTGCCTTCTATAAAAATCAGGTCCTGAATTGATAAACTAACTTCTATTTTTTTTTTTTAGCTAAAACTGCCTCGTCTCTGCAAATGCTCCCTCGCAGAAGTTCGATATGGATATCTGTTGCACTAATTCGAATTAAAAAAAGCTAATTAGAAAAACTCGCTAAAGTGAATGAATGAATGATAGCTCTCAAATGCTCACACTTTTTGATTCGTAGTCTGCGATTCGATAAAGTGGAAATAAGATGAGCAAGAAAAGAAAACTTAGGCCAAAAAATACGTAAAGAAGGTGACGCTATAAATTAAAGAAAAAATAATAATAAAAAAAGTCAGTCTCCAAAATATGGCGTAAATCAGCAGACAAGGCAAGACACATGGATATCGAAAACACTCTAACTATAGACAATGAATAATGTAAACTTCTACAGATCGGAAAACTTTTAACCTTCAAGACAAAAAGCCTGAACACTCGTGATCTAAATATACCTTGTGTGTGGTGGAAGGAATATCGTTACAAGCCTCATATAATTTTGTCACCAGGTTATAGTGACAAGTGAGATAACCGACTCCGAAAGAAGCAAAAATACCAAGGAGGTACGCGTACATACGGGGCTGCTGCTTATAAAGAGCAGCCAGTTGGTGGGTTAATTCGACAAAAGTTTGGATTACTTTTGCCAAAGCCTAATTTTTTCATTTGATTATACAAATCCAGAGATCTACGAGGAAAATAATCATGTGGTTTAAATTGATAATTAATTATATTTTTCGAACAAAACTAATATACAGCATCAATCAATTACAAAAAAAAAGTGAAGTATGAAATTAAAGATTTTTAAATTTTATGTTTCAAGATTGCTAATTATATCTCCTGTATTAATTAAAATTACAAAATTTTATCTAATATTTCTTCTCGATTGAAATAAATAATGATAATGGAATACACAAACTTGAATTAAAAAGATGTAAAGGAACTCAAATAATGTTCATCAAAAATAAATAATTAAGCCCAGTGTCTCAACAGGAAAAGACATGTTTTTTTAATAATCATTTACTCATTTTATTGAGCTTGAACCTCGTAACCTTGGTAACCATTCGGATTGGCTTCTCGAATACTATAAAAAATAAATCATATAATTAGATTATTACAAATCAAAATAATTAAAAATTCCAAGGTAATAAATAAACTTACAGTTTCAAGAAAGCCTCTTCCAATCCCTTTTGACTTACACCCCATGAACTAATCATAGGTTTTCCTTCTTCCACCGAGCTCAATTCTCGATTCTCTTCAAACCATCTGACTAGTGCTGGTAAAGAGGGTAATGCAGACATTGGTAATTCATATATTAATGCACCAGCTGAATCATCTTCTAATACAGCATCTGGTACTTGTTGTTCGATCAATTGTTTCGCACGTGAAGAATCTAATGGATGTGTGACCAATGAAACACGATAACCTGCACCGAATCTATTCTTTAGATGAATGGCATTTCCTAGTGCACGTAGACGTCCATGAGCCATTACACAAATACGATCCCCTAACACATCAGCTTCCTCCATAGAATGTGTCGTCAAGATAATGACACGCCCTCGTTTGAAATTCTCAATGAAACTCCAAACATGACGTCGATTTACGGGGTCCATTCCAGTCGTTGGTTCGTCCATAAATATAATTTGTGGATCACCAATTGTTGATACTACCATACTTAAACGACGTTTCATACCACCACTATATGTTCCAGCGAATTTATCTGCTACTTTGGTAAGACGTACAGCGGCTAATCTCTCATTTACTAATGTTTCAATTTCTTCGCGCGGGACCATTTTAATACCAGCATAAAGTTCAATATGTTCACGAGCTGTGAGATCATTGAAAAGAAGATCATGTTGCGGACAAACTCCCATAATTTTGCGAATTGAATCTATATCTTCACGAACACTTAGACCATACATTAAAGCGTCGCCTGATGTTGCTGGTGTCATCCCCGATAAAATGTTCATACTTGTACTCTTTCCTGCACCATTCTGTCCAAGTAATGCAAGACATTTTCCCTCCTTTAAAGTCAAACAAAGATCATTTACGGCAACTTTATCAAGCTTACTCGTATAGAACATTGAATGTCGAAAAACTTTACGTAAATTGGCAATTCGAAGAACAGCGTCATTATCAGTGTCAAATGTCGCATTTCGTTCAGCTGCAACGTCCGTATCTTCGCCCTCATGAGATTCAACAGCAGCTTTTTGATATTTTTGCAACCAAGATTGCATCGTATAACCTTTTGAGATCCTCAATCCCCAATATTTTGGCGACAAAAAGAACAAAGGTGAACGACGTGTACCGAATTCATCAGGAATAACTTTATCGAAATACCAGGTAAGGAAGAGATATAAGACAATGTTCATGAGTAACAAATACCAACTTTGAACTGGAGCTGGCACATCAGGTTTACGGCCGGCAGCATCATAAGATGGAAGATATTTATCAGTTAATGGATTGTAAAGGTCACCCCATTTGAATCCAGGTCCGGGAGCGAATGTGTCGGTCAAGTAATCGTATTTTCCGGTGGTTAATTGTGACATATCCAAGAAAATTTTGCCAAAGTTGAAGAAGGGAATGAAAATTAGAATTATCCATCCAATTTTGCTTGTGTTTTTATCCCACCAAATATAGCCAATATATGCATTTGAGAATGCGAATGATTGGAAAATAAGGCCGATAATGAATAAGAAAATACCGACTAGGACTGCGACTCGAGCGGTACGACAGAAGGTAGTGATGAAAAAGGCAAGAGTAACCATAGCAAGACCAAATAGGATAAAAGTAATCAGTAATACCAAGAAGTTGGTGTGCCGAAAGACGGCAAAATCGAAAGCCAAACCGAAGATACAAATAACCAATGAGCAGACTAAAATGAGCCATCCATTAGAAACAAAATATGCCAACCAATAAGCTTCTTTCTTTAAGCCCATCATAACTAAACTGTCTGCCAATTTTGCCTCTTTTTCAGCAACTACAGTGTTCAATATTGAGATAAAAATAACCATCTCAGCACAAAAGAAGAATAAAGCTCCGAGGTTTGCGACCATTTGATCAGTGATGGTTTTGGGCGGGACAATAGGCCATTCCTTTAATTGAAGATTCATGGCAGGTGAATTCGATGACCCAGGTGAAGAATTTGTCGCGACGGTTACTGTGGAAATTATGCAAATATTATTAGATTATTGTATTATATAAAAAAAATTAAATTTTTTACTTACCAATTGCTTCATCAATACCCCGTTGAAAGGATAGTAGTTGTTCATTGAAAACATCTGAATTATTATTTGTCTGAGTGCTATTAAACCAAATTTGATATCGATAGTTGGTTGGCGGTCCATCTTCAATGGTAAATTCAATACCAAACAATGTAACATTTGGATTATTTAAAGTATAGTTGTAAATGAATGTGGCATCAGGAACTGCAACAATCCCCAATTTCTTATCTGGACGCGTAGTAAGATCTGGATTTTTTTAAAAAATAATAAAAATTAATAAAATGAAACCACAAAATACTAAGAAATATGCTTTAACAATAACCTAATTTAACATCTTCTAGCGGCATTGATTGTCCCGTTCTTTTTTGATTGTTTGTCGAAAAAGCTTGCATTATATCTTTATGTTTCTCTGGTGTGTACATTACATTTATACAAGGAGAACTTTCATGGCGTCCCTATTAAATAATTTGTAGAAAATTATAATTTAAGAATAAAATTAATAAAATTAACAAATTTAATGTTTATACGTTTTATCAAAATTCTTATATTTACCTGACATTGTAATACTCCCAAAAGTGGATACGATTTTGGATGATAATAGGCTTTTTTTTGAACCACGTTATCGGCTTTTTGCAGAATAAATAAAAGCAGCAAGAACATAAATGGCCCTGCGATTGCTTGAGATATTGTCGATTTACGATATCGAATCTTTATAGTAATTAATTTAATCAATCAATCAATCAATAAAGCGTAATTAATTCAATTCAATCAATCAATTTATGAATATATTATATTAAATCAAAAGTTTCACCCACTTGTAAAATAAAATTTCTCTTTATCATAATCCATAATTGCACAAAGAATAATTTGAAAACGTTTGGAGATTGTGGCTGAATAACTTTTTCGTTTTGATTAGACTCGCCCGAAGAGATAGCACTATTTGAATTTAATGAAACCTGACTGGGGGTATTGAGAGTATTGCTATTAGTTCCCCAGGAGGGAGAAAGTTGGTCCATATTAAAGGGTGAATTATAATTTTTAAATTACGCGTTTGATCTGATGTCAAAATAATGTTATCAAAGGGAATTTTAGATAATTTTCACGATATTAAAGTATGAATTCGCTATTATCTAAAATTGTATCTTAAAACCTGCGAGAATACTACAAATAGTTTAAGTATTTATATAAAAAATTCGCTTTTCTTTAGAAGTTCTTTTCAGAAAACTTTAAATACACATGGAAATTTCGCAAAAGGCAAAGTGCAGGCCAAGAAAACGCGACCTCACTCTATAAGATAGAGAAATAACGCCAAGTTTTCGTAAAAAATTAGTTTAAAACAAGAAAAAGCAACGAGGATGGATCGTAATATACATTTTTTCGTAAAAGATATGCAAGATCTATTTATCATAATGTGTGGCTAGTGTGATATTTACGCGTACATGAAGTGATAATATAAAGTTGTATGAATTGGACAGAAAAAAATTTACCGGAGAAATAGTTCTACCCGATTCATTCTATAGTACATGTATAGCACTGCCTAACCCCTTTTATGGTTGAATAAATCTGCGGACTTTCCGCCAGTTGAAAATTTTATTGTTATTCTCTTGAGAACGTGAGTTTCCACTTAGAGAAATTCAAATAAACTTTTTCGGTAATTTCGGTAAAGATTTTCGCCTTCGTCAATGGATATATTTTTGGTTGATTTTCTTCCAAGATTAAATTGACAGTATGCCTGAAACAGGTTGTGGGTAATGATTCGTTCAAAAAATTTGTTTATTTTCCAATTTTAAGTTTTCATTGTCAGGCTGCGGGATTCTTGCTCCGGATGGAAGGAATTTAAAAAAGTAGAGAAAAGCCAATTAATTGTCTTCGTCATTAATTAGTTGTATTATAGTATGGTAATACTAAAACCCAAAACGTTGTATATAATGAAAATCGAAACCCAATGATAAATGCCATATCGATATGTTTATCGTTTATATGCTTATTGACTGTCTAGGCATAATAAGATGACGCATTATTTGTTTGTTTATTTATTTATTGCCTTTTATGATCTCTCGTTGTATAGCGATAGTGAATCTGAATTGATTTCACTTTTGGATCGATCATCACGATACTATTTTTACGTAGAATTTATGTTCAGTCCCCAGCGAAAGTAATGGCAGACGTGTTTTTTGCCTATATCTTAATGAGGAATCATTCAAACATTGTGAAAATTTGTAGATATATTCTTTATAATATTAGAAACAAGATTTATTAATACCAAAAAGCATGTTAACATAATAATACTTTGCGGAATTTGGTGTCAAAAGTGACGAATTGAGATTTTTAACATTATATTTTTAATTTCAAAAAAAGGCATTATTTTTATGGATTTTTTAATAAACCATAGTAAAACTCTCATTTTTACTATGTTTTATTAAAAAATTCATCAAACTAAAGCCTTTTTTGAATGACATTTATTAAATAAAATGAACTTCATGTCATAAAAGATATTTTCATAAAATAATTTTTTACTCCTACTTAAATGTTGAAAATTTCAATTCGTCACTTTTGACACTAAATTCCGCAAAATATTATTATGCTAATGTGTTTTGTGATATTAAGAAATTATGTTCCTAACATCCTAAAGAAAATTTTCACGACTTTTGAAAAATTCCTCATAGATAAAAACACCGCCGCCATGACTGTATATAGGATTTTTACATAATTTTACGGAAACTATATAAGAATTATATAAACTTATACGTAATTTTACGTATTACAAAAATTTACACTTTCATAAATCTTGATAAAAAATTATATTAGTCTGTAATCTACGTAAAAATTATAGTTAGATCGGGATCAATAGTTTTTCGCGTTATCGTTAGGAAAAGAATTTGATGTCATACATTATCGACTCGAATTAAATAAAAATCTTACTTTATTTGCCAATTACGTTCATTATATGACGTTCTTTATCTGATAAAATACATGTTTAGAAACTACGTTCATTATTTTTATCGCATATTTAGAAACTACGTTCGTTATCTTTAACGCATATGACGCGCTTTATCTGATAAAATACATGTATAGAAGATAATATAATATTTTTTATACTTGAAATTATATTATTGGGGCTTTTAGAATAATCGACGCGTTTCCTTTATATCGTTCACATTGTTCATCATACTAATGACTTTTACTAATAAAAAAATTCACTTTGAGGCGACATAAAGGGGTAACACAGAAAGTTTCATCTATATGATAAGAAAGTAATAAATGCTTGCTCTATTTTAAAGGTATCTTAAAGAAGGAGTAAGTATAAAAAAATTCTATTTGATTACTCTTTTCAGCAATGATGGCGTTTTAAACTAAGCTTAAACTTTGCATGCTTTATCTATGTACATATCTTTCAAAACAAAAATGCGTTTCATACGACACTAAAAAGCAAAGAATTATCTATTGTAGTATAACACATAGTTGTGCGAAAATCGAAAAAGAAAACTTCTTCGATCGATTTTTTCTTGTTTCTATTTAATCGTATATTTTAACGCGCGTGAAAATAGGTGGTATTTGCACAACCTAATGTTTTCAGGAGCTCAAGTCGCGTAAATTCCATATAGTAATAACACAAGTTTCGCCTAAATAAATGTCAATTAACATAATTTCCGAATTCTGCGATAGATAATCATGCGTGCACTTTTAATTTGATTGCTTGATTGGAATAATTATTAGAATGGTTATTTGGAATGTTTATTTGGAATGTTTATTTGGAAGAGATTAAAAAAATTATTTGCTCTTTCTCATGTTAATGTTAAAAAGGAATTCAAAATGAGCATCAATCTTGCCCATGAATTTTCCGAGGATCAGAGATGTACTAGACATTTATCATTTACCATTTACGATCAAACAATGAATTAAAATTTCTCGGTTTATCATATATTCCGGAATAGCACCGCCATCATAAATGGAATCTGAGCGGGACATCCGTTTGGTAACCTAATCAAATTCATAATTCGCAAATATCACATTGGCAACTCGATTTCATACTTATATTAAAGTAGGTGGCGTATTTTTCTAGAAAGCTTCAATTTCGTAAAGTTTTTTTTATAAAACATTAGGAAATCAGTAGATAATAATAAAAAGGATTTACTTGGCAAAGCTTCGAAGAATACGATATAAAGGACTTGAAGGCCAACACTTTTCACGAATAGTCAAAGAAAATATTATCTTTTATTATCCCATTACTGTAGATCCAATATAAAATATAAATATATAAATACATATCCGTGTTTTTTAAAAAATTTCTCGATTTTGCGGAGATTTTTTTACAGAAAAAATATTATAATAAAAAGAGTCTGCCTAAAATAATAATCGGAAGAAATCTATTTTGCAAAAAAAGTAAACCGAGTTATCTATCCACTAAAGACATTTTATAATGTCTCAAACACCAAAAATAAAGACAACTAATCACGAGGAAGAAATCATCACACTCGATAATGCAAGTCCAGGTAAAGTCATAATAAAAAAGAACAGTTTGTTTTTAGTTGATTTCCGTTGATGAGAATGTTATGTCTCTTAGGTGAAACCATTACAGAAAATGAGAAAACCAAGAATGCCAAAGACTCAATGAATGCATATTTCGGTGCTGATAGAAAAAGCTACCAGATTCGTGCATTGGTATGAAATTTCATTTTCAGTTTATAGTTTCTTGAATTTCGAGGATCTACTAACGGTTTGAAATTGATTTTAGGCAAGAAAAACGATTTCATATCAAAAACGACAAATGTTCGCAAACATTTGTTGTATAACTTTATGTCCACTTTTGATGGTTGTAATTTCCGGAATTTTAGGTGTTGTGATTACTGCACTAATTAACAATTCAAGTGGTGGTAGTTCAGGTATATTCCGATTTTAGCTTTATGTTACATTAACGTTAATGATCTGCGAACAATTGTTTATTGATTATCTATATCTATTTTTCCATTAGAGTATCTTTTTTGCTCGAGTGAAGCTGCTTATAATACAACAACACGCCAACCATATGATAAAGATTCCGACAACCTTCCCAAAAGAGATAGTAAAGATATACCAAATGTGCCAAGCGACGTTGATACAGTAAAACTCACAAATTATTATTTGCCTCCAGCTGGAGACGAGCTCTTTTCTTCACCTGGAAGCCCACAAGGATGTGTATATTGGTTTGAACCCGATTATCCTACCCGCGAACCTTATGAACCAAAAACTGATGACGGTATCGTAAAAAAAGACACGTAAGTTAAGATATTTAATTTTTGAATTTTATTACAAAGGTTAATGAGAAAATTATTTTTTTTAAAAATAGAACATTCAAACCAGCTCCTCCAAAAGGTTGGTTTAGCATCGAGTCACTTACAAAATTTCCTGTATATTTGGCCACCTATCAGACTCTTCCATATTTACTGGTCAGTGATGCAGATGGAGTTGATTCAGGCGAAAAACCTAATCAAGATCCTATTCCATTCAGTGCAAGTACCAACATATCAAGTACATTTCAAACTTTGACCAACACCAACACATCAAGTGATTCTTTGTTCAAAACTTTTGAAACCAATTATTTTGTAAATATCTCACGCACGGGCAATAGCTATACTGTTAATAGCTTCCAACCTGTGCCATTACTTAAAAAATTCAAACTAAGTGAGGAAGAAATGGATAACAAATTAACAGAAAAAATCCAGGATTTCCTTTCTGAGATTGTCGGCATAAACAAAGCTGTATTGGAAAATCCCGACGGTGTTAGCGATGAGGAAAAATTGAATTTCTTTATCGATGTTGCTGGAATTGTAGGAAAAATGCCGTGGGGAAATCTCCTATTTGATGCGATCGATCCTTCAGCTAAACTATGGAATTATACAATGCAAATTGGTAGTGATAAACGTATTTCTAAAGCTGCCTCATATCCAAGTCAAGGATTCCGTCGTATCGCCTCTCAAAGTCAACTTAGCAATGGCTTTTTGAAAACGGCAAAAGGAGATGCACAATCAGTCAAAATTACACATGGATTCAGAGTCATGCCACAACTTTACTCGTCAAAGATCAAAATCGCTGCCGCCTCAGTTATTGGTGGAATTTTGTATCCATTCGGTGTTTCTTTCCTTCTTCCAATCTTTGTAATCACTTTAGTTAAAGAAAAAGAAGAACGGATCCTTGTGATGATGCGAATGAACGGTCTAAAGAGCTTTTCTTATTATTTGACACACTATATTCATTTCTATTCGTTACACATTGTGACAACAACAGTATTTATTGTCACCGGTGTTCTCTTCAAAATGGAATTCTTCACTCTAACCGATCCAGGAGTTTACATTCTTTTATTCTTCTTTTGGGGACATATTCAAATCGCTCTTGCTTTATTTCTCACGGTTTTCTTTAGTAAAAGTCGAACCGCATTAGTTATCACATTTATGTTGGTGTTATGTGGTGTCATTATTAGTTTGTCCACTACACAAATATTTTTGGATGACAAAGCACCAGGCTATTATTTCCTCTGGCCGCCATTTGCTTTTTACCGTGCTCTAACCCTGATCAACCAACATAGTATCAGTAAGTCAAAATTGCCCTATAGAATGTCCGATTTGACTGGAAGCGATGAGGTTTTGAGTGCAATAATCGCCATGATTGTTGAATTCGTTTTTTTCATGGGATTAACATTTTACCTCAATCAGGTAATGAAAAATTTTATTGTCATCGTTTATTATTTGATTTAATATTAATTGCAATAATTTTTATTTATGGATGTAGATTATTCCTTCAGAATATGGCGTCGCAAAGAAATGGAATTTCATTTTCACCGAACCATTGAAAGCTTTCCGAAATAAGCGAAAAGGAAATACTTTCAAAGATGCTCCTGCCACCTTAGAAGCAGGTATTCCTGATGTAGATCCAGAAGAAACTCAATTCGAGGATCAAGATGTCAAAGCAGAACGTGCTCGTGTATTAGACAATCGCTACCCGGTAGATTCACCCTTAGTAATGAAACGTATGAGAAAAGCCTATAATAGTGGTAAATTGGCTGTTAAGGATGTCACATTTGCCGTAGAAAAGAGTCTTATTTTCGGCTTATTGGGTCCTAATGGAGCTGGTAAGCTCTCTTTTTTTTTGATTTTATTGAATTCACGATGCACTTATTTACTGACAGTTATTCATTTTAGGTAAAACTACACTTATCAGTATTTTGACTGGACTTTATCCACCTACTTCTGGATCTGCCAGTCTCAATAAGTATAATATTAATGAAGATATGGATAAAGTGTATATGAGCATGGGAGTATGCCCACAACACGATATTCTTTGGGCTGACTTAACTGTTGAAGAACATTTACTATTTTACGCTCGTCTTAAAGGAATTCCACCTAAAGCTGAATCAGAGGCAGTTAAAATCGCATTAGAGCAAGTACGACTGGAACCATTCGCAGGACGATTAACAAAGGGTTTGAGTGGTGGTGAAAAGAGAAGATTATCAATAGCTATTGCTTTGATAGGAAATCCTGCTGTAGTATTTTTGGATGAACCAACAACTGGACTTGATCCCGAAGTTAGGCGATTGATTTGGAATATTGTACATGATGCAAAAGCTGGAAGAACTATTGTTCTGACTACACATTCTATGGAAGAGGCCGAAGTTTTATGTAATCGTATCGGAATAATGGCAAAGGGAACATTAAGATGTATCGGACCACAATTGCGATTAAAAGAAGTTTATGGACGTGGATTTAAGCTTAGCTTTAGTTGTCGCCCTAAAAATGTTGAGAAAGCTACTGCGTACGTATTTATTCGAATTTCTTTCTATCGAATTTTCTGAATATCTATTAACTTATTTAATATCTGATTCTTAAATAGATATATTGAATCGCTATTACCACCAACAGCAAAGAAATTGGATTCTTTCGTGACAAATGTTTCTTATGAATTTGAACCTGAACCCGGTTTGATCCCAAGACTGTTCTCTGAAATAGAGAAGAACAAGAAACGAAATGGTATTGACGATTGGGGTCTAAGTCAAACTAGGTAAAAACCCGTTCATTTCTTTATTTACCAATTTCTCGCGTTAATTAAGTCTTCTCTAATATATAATAAATTTTTTGCATTTGTAGTTTGGAAGAAGTATTTTTACAAATTATTGGGGAAGCTGATGCTGAAGGGTAGTTTGGAAGAGATATTTTGACGAGTTATTGGGGAAGCTGATTATATTCATTTTGGTTTTTTGGAGGGGTTCGCTATTTCGATTAATTTTAAATGACGAATTTTATTATAGCTTTGTTAATTTATTATTCATTTGTTTATTTGACGCGTTTTGATTTTTTTTTAAAGAACATTGTCACCAGTGCCACGCTATTCTCTTCAGATTTCTTATTTTATTTGATATTCGAGAAACAATTTTTTATAATTCAAAATGTATTTATAGTACTAATTTGTAAAGACCTTCTTAATAAATATAAAAGATTCAACTAATTTCATTTATCGTGACCTTATGGAAGTCATTATTACTGCTGCTGCTGTGCCAGCTAAACATATTCTACCACAATTAAAAGTTAGCAAAGTGAAAGAGTCTTTGGCCAGTATGAGTTCACATGAAATGTTATAGACAGACCCCAAAATCGATCGAACCATCAATAAGAACTCCACTTTTGATAATTTTTTTATAGAGCTTATCTTTTAGTTCTTGTTCGAATGACGGAATTCGTCTTTTCGATGAATGGAAGAACAGCGCTTTATTAACTCATGACAAAATTCCTTAACTGGACCAACGAAAATTTATCATTTTCACTGTTATAAATATCTTTTGTATGAGCCCCATGTAATTGGTACTAATGACTCGGAATAAAATTGAATAGAAAAATAACAATTATTTATTTGAATATAACACGTTTTTTCTGGTAACTTGGCATAGTAACTCGGCAATCTTTTCTTCGCACGGTCATTTTTGCGTTGGTTTTTTTATCTTGGCGATTACAATTGCGAAGTTGCGAATCGTTTCCTCGAGTGAATTTGCTTCAGTTTTGAATTTACGTTTTTTAGTTAATATTTCATTTTTTGCAATGATGACAATTTTTAAGATAAGAAACACCAAATCCTTTTGTATGTATTCACCGGTGTTTGACGATGATCGAAATTTCGTCATTTCATCATCGATGCATCATTAGCACAACTCAATGAAATTCGTGGAATTTCCGCGAACAGATTCAAGCGAACTAGAAATGAACAGGGCTAACGAAAACAGTAAAGAGCGAAAGGAATGAAGCGAGAAAGCAAGAGAAAAATTGTGCAAAGGCAGAGGATATTGTATTTATATAATCTGCGAGCAAAGTAAAAGCATGGTTGTTTTACATGGTTTCAGTCCAATGAGGTGAGATCAATTTTGACCCCCGCAATTTACTTGTTGCAAATATGACATCCATTTACCCTATTCTGGATTTCTATACATATCAATATCGAATATATGTAGATGAAACTGTGCAACCCAACGCTTATTTCGGTTGTTGTTCGGGTTTGAGTGATTTGATGTTTTTCAAACGTCTATATATTATACTTGTATTCATTTAGTTGTTGTTATTCAATTTAGTATTAGTAAAAATGGTCAATAATAGGAAAATAATAAAAAGAGGACAATTCCTTTTCTTCTTCTTTCTACGAATTTCAGAACTCCGATAACTGAAAGTATTCGGTTTATCGTGCGTGTGTAGATAATATTTGTATATATGTCACTGTGTACATGAATGAATGATATCAAACATCAGAAGTCTGCTGGTTGAAAAGCAGCAGAAGAAAAAGAATTCTTGTTTAATCTGTCCCGTTGGCTGGCCCAAAGATTCTTTATTTGATTCCATCATTCTTTTCAATTAATTATAGTAATAATATTTATTAATTATCCATTAATTCTTCAAACTCCTATCCGAACATTTGATTGATACTCTCCGTATTGTTAATTTTCCCTTCAAATACCTTTATTGTCCCTTTTCTTGATTATTTTTTCTCTTGATTTGATTTACTTGAGGTTTGACAGGTTCAAACTTTGCTCGAAAAGTACATATTATTATAACGCTTTGGACATACATTTTTAAAATACGAGAGAACAAACGAACGAAGACATTTATTTTTATACGAAGGAAACAGTTCGATCGTGTTACGAAATACAAAAAAAATGTTTGGACGTTATGTAGTTGCCACGATATCAGCGTTATTCTCGGTAAGTTTATATTTTTTTTTAAGTTAATTCGTAAAATATGAGAGAAGGGCGCAATAAATTCATTCGTTATTATTTTGATATAGTTATGGTGTGGATTTGTATCGGTGTTCACTTTTCTTGGATCAAATCGTAAGTAAATGTTCGTTAAACAGAGGTAAATAACGCGTTTTATTTCATAATTTAGCATTAATTGACTCTATTTTTATTTGTTATAGAGGCCGTATACCATTTACCTAGTTTTTATATGCTTGGCTATAGTGCCATATATGCAATACTCTCGCCATTCGGTCTAGCTGGAATTCTTGGAGCTTTACATGTACGTCTATTTTTTATAATTCGTAATTTGTTAAATATATTTAATTTTCTAAAATAACAATAAATAAATATTCTAGCGCAAGAAAGCATTAATACGAGGATTCTTATTTCAATATTCTGTTGCATACATACTACTGACCGGAATGAACGTTGTCAGTATTCTTTTGTCGCATCGATGGGCACAAAAGACACTAGTAAAGTGCATTTCGGATGCTTTTAGACCAGGAGGACGAAATGTTGGAACGCAGGCATGTGAAAGAAAAGTGAAAGATGCGCAACTAACTTCTCTTGTGTTTACTTGCGTTCAGGGTGGTATAATGGTAAGTTTAGACCTTTTTCAGTCTAATTTCTTTACTACTCGATTTCTAATGATTTCCAATTAAATTTTCAGCTAATTTGTGGAATAATTTTGCTCATATTTGGAAGACGAGAATTCCAAGATATCAAAATCGACGAAGAGACCAGCAATTTGTTAGAGAAATCGGCATTCGCCTCACATAATAATGCTGATCTCTTGCCATCAGAACCCGAAGATATTCATCGTTCTCCAAGTAATAAATCAAATTACAATAATGGGTTAAATCGCAATCTAACAATCAACACAGCATCATCTGGGCTTTCCCGTCATACAACAAATTCGAGCACTCATTCATCACGAACAGCGTTAATGTCACCCTCAGCAACTCGTAACAATAACTATAACAATCAATTATCGAATCCACAAAGATCATATTCGACACGTTCAAATTCACAAAGATCATATCCGACAACACATCAACGATTACCGCCGCCACTACCGCCACTACCACCACCTTCTGAATACTACAACGATAATACTAATAATGGATATTACAGCGATAATAATGGTCAAAGAGTATACGCGGCACCTTCTGCGCTTCCACCTTTGAAGCTGAATAGACCACAAAATCCAATTCATTATGAAAACCATTACAGTAGACCACAAACGCCAATCCATAATGAAAACCATTATGAATACAGTAATAATCAATTACCACCACCACTACCACAACCACAGCCACAACAATATTTCGTGGATGATTATTCAAATTATTGGCAACCTAAAGTCGCAAAAACATTGGCTAGTGACATTACAAGAAAAGGGTTATTACATTGACCTTTATCAGTGATAATTTGCTTTCGCGTAAAATCGCAATCATTGTTAATTTAAAGATACGAAATTTATAAAATATTCCATTCATTATTATAAAAATTAAATTGTACAGTGAAAAGTAAACTTTAAATTCGTAATAAACCTCATTCTGTTTATTAATTTAACGTTAATAGAAAAGAAAAATTCAATAAATGGTTCTGAAAAATTTTCCCATGTAGTTTATTTATTGTTACGGGGGAATAATCTGTTTCAAAAATTACCTTTTTTCTAGTTCCATCACAATCAGTAAAGCTATTTATATCAATATGTACTACCGTTACTTCAATGAACGCGAGAAAATAACGATAATTGTCAATACAACTATTACAATGCATACAATCACATAAAACAAAGCCAGAGAAAAATCCCTATTCATGTTCACACCTTGTTTCCATCCAACAAAAGCTTTGAAAAGGTAAAAGACAATGAGTAAATGGTTAGATTACTTGTAGGTTTTGCTTGTATAAGTTATGTTGATTTTTCAGTTAAGACAATAAGACATTAAAAAGCAACTTTCTGTTGAATACAACATTGTAAACAAATTCACAATTAATTTACAAAATACAAGTGAAACACAATATAAAAGAGCATTTTTTTTAATTATATTGTCTTATTAAAAAAATTCTTAAGATTCAAATTACAATTCTTAATAAGATCAATCAATATAATAACTGAATTGATTTTAAGTTTTTCTTATTTTAAATTTTTATTACAAATACAGTAGCTTAAAGTAATGCATCACTTTTAAATTTTTTAATTAATGAAAATAAAATTTTCAATTTTGTTATTTTTCAATAATACAATTTGAAAATAATATATTATTTTTGTAAACTAATAAAAGCATATTATATTCTATTGATTTTTCTCAAATTAAATTTTTTTGTGTTAGTTTTGTAGTATATATTAAAGTTATACTAAGTTTTATTTTAAATATTAAATATATTAAATATCAAAAAATCAAATATATTAAGATATATAGTGATTAATAAAATTATATAATTACATATACAATCTTATTAATAAAATATAATAAAAATAAAAATTTATATTTACAATAACTAACAAAAATATAAAATTATATATATGAGTTTATTAATAAAATATAGTAAAAATTAAAATTTTTGTTTTATAATAACTAACAAAATTATGAAATTATATATTGTTACCATTTTAATATAATTTTATATTTTGTCATGAGAGTACACATAATAGAGTCAGGTGAGAGAGTTGATATATTAAATAATTTAAGTTGGAAGAGTTTACTAAGTTATCTAAAGGTAGATAACGTATGTTTGTTTTGTTAATCAGCTAGAATAAGATCAAAAAGATTTAAAGGTAATTGTACCTTTTATAATTTAATTTATAATAAGTTGAGCATTCTTTTAAAGTTAATTTATAAACAAGTAAAATGCAATTTTCTTTTATTAATTCAATATTATTATTGACTTTGCAATATAGATGAGAGATCAAATACAAGAATGTATAAGATAATATAACTTCGCAATAGTAATAAGAGGTTACAAGAATAATTTCACAATTAAGACAAAAGATTATAAAAATATTATCTAAAGAATTATTAAAAGAATATAAAACTTAATTAATTGATTATTAATTATTAATTATTAATTATTATTTTTTTAGCTAAGATACAAGCTGTATTTATAAGTATTTAATAATTATAAAATAATCATTTAAAATAATTATTTGGAATAATTTTTTGCAATGATTATTTGGAGTACTTGAAATGATTAGTTGGAATAATCATTTGGAATGATCATTTAGAGTGATCATTTGAAGTGATCATGTGAAGTAATTATGTGAAGTAATCATTTGTGATTATAAAAAATATTTAATTACAACAATATATGATTTTATTAATAAAATATAGTATTTATAGTAACTAATAAAATTATATAATTTTATGAATAAAATATAATAAAATCAAAATTTTTATCTTATATAGTGATAATTAAAAATAATATAATAATATCAAAATTTATTAATTAAATATAGTAAAATATAGATTTTTCTCTTTATATAAAAGTTTTCAATTTTACTAATAAATATTTTTTATTTTTATATTAAAATAAAGATAATATTATATATTTTAATATATATTTTTCAGATTTAATCAATTATTTTTTTATATATTTTAATATATATTTTTCAGATTTAATCAATTATTTTTTTATATATTTTAATTATAAAAAAATAATTAACTTTATATGTAATTAGAACAGTTTTATTAGATTAAATCTAAAAAAGCTAAAAAAAAATATATATTAAAATATATAATATTATCTTTATTTTAATATAAAAATAAAAAATTTTTATTAGTAAAATTAAAAATTTTTATATAAAGAGAAAAATCTATATTTTACTATATTTAATTAATAAATTTTGATATTATTATATTATTTCTAATTATCACTATATAAGATAAAAATTTTGATTTTATTATATTTTATTCATAAAATTACATAATTTTATTAGTTATTATAAATACTATATTTTATTAATAAAATCATATATTGTTGTAATTAGATATTTTTTATAATCACAAATGATTACTTCACATAATCACTTCATATGATCACTTCAAATGATCACTCTAAATGATCATTCCAAATGATTATTCCAAATAATTATTTCAACTAATCATTTCAAGTACTCCAAATGATCATTACAAATAATTATTCCAAATAATCATTTCAAATGATTATTTTATAATTATTAAATACTTATAAATACAACTTGTATCTTAGCTAAAAATAATAATAATTAATAATTAATTAATTAAGTTTTATATTCTTTTAATAATTCTTTAAATAATATTTTTATAATCTCTCATCTTAATTGCGAAGTTATTCTTGTATTTGTGTAATAATTTTTATATACTCTTGTAATTTTTTGTATCATATTTATTATTTTTCATATTATATTTATCATTTTTTGTATAACATATTAGAAATTAATATAGATCTATATTTAATACTTTTTAATATTTCATCAAATAGATTAAATGTAAAATATAGATTATATTATTAATTTAGACACACCTTATTTTTAATTTTTTTCTTTTTATTTGTTCTTTTCTTTTTATTTATTATTTTTAAATTTGTGTTAATTACTTTTTATTATTATTTATATTTTATACATATCTAATTAAGTACAGTATAACTTGGAATAAGAATGCTTGTCTAAATCCTTTCAGAAAAATATCGTCATAATTTTGATGGGTTACACACTAATTGTTAATTAGAATTTTGACATAATT